ATATATTAATTATTACCCTTTCTTAAAATATAATATGGAGAATTGAAATCTGTCGCATAGGAGATAGATTGTATGTGTTGGCCTAAGAAGATATTGCCTTATGGAAAGAAGACAGCCGGCTAATACAAGAATCAGCAATAGTAATTAAATAAAAGGATGAAGTAGGTACACTAGTAGTGCTCCATTTCCGTACTAAAACTCTCAGCCAACCTCTCTGTTAACTAGCATCTCCAAGAACGAGCAGCTGGTGTCTTGATATCACTGAAAGAATAAGTGAAATCCATTATTCAGTTAAGAGAGCTCCATATTTTACAGATATTCAAAATGACTGGGACTGAACAAACCCTCTGCAGTAGCACCACTACAAGTACCAGAGTGTCTAAGAATAAATATACAGCCAAGTTATGAACTGGTTATGGCAGCCAATTCTATACCACCCAGTCACATGGTGAGTTTTTACCATTTCTGTTGTGATCCTTCAAAAATGGCAAAGGGGAAGCTGTGATGAAATCAATTAAACATTCAAGAAGCTTTTAAAATGAAAAAAAAAAAAAAAGTATTAAGACTACTAAAAAGAAAAAGAATTAACTACTTTCCCATTTTCCATTACACTTTAACTGAGTCTTTATTATTTAATGCAGGCCCAGAGTAGGTGAGTGCACAGAGCAAAATGAGGAAGAAAAGGCTAGAAACTGGGACATTATAACAGGAAATGAAGCTAGCAGAACAATGTGAAATACCACAAATAAAACTTAGCCTTAGCATAACTTGAGGTTGCTTACAAATTCAAGTGCTTGACTTTATTGAAACAGTTTCTGGGTGTTAAACAAATAGAATTTATAGTAAATTGAGGTTGTTACACTTCTCACATTGTCTAAATATTCTTAATGGAATAGTCTACATTCTTGATAAATGAAGTACCTTCCAATTTCAAATCATGATTAAGTTATTTGAAAATTTTAGTTAAAGAAAACAATTGCAGAAGTGCATAGATGCAGAAGC